ATGTATGTTGCATGTTTTAAATGTATTGTATTTACTTGTTTAAAATTAAATGTGTTTTAGATTGACTTTTAAAATCTGTCCAGGGACTACAGATGAAAAATAGCCTCTTGGCTAACTCTGGCACATTTACAGAAATGTTCATTAATGTGCAGTGTCCCTGTTAAATAAATGAATAAATAAATAAAAACACCATTGCCACCGAAAAGTTTAACCACAAGAATCAAGACTATATGAGCTACCACTAAACAACTCACAGTCTGAAAATTACCATTAATAAAAACCCTGAACGTTTACTTTTCGTTTTAAACATCGTTTTAAGGTGTAAACGTGTCATTTAGGAACTGCGACAGCATAAATATGCGAACACAAACCTACAGACTGCTGGAGAAGAGATATCACAGGGGGGTTGGGATACACACATTCCGATGGCCAATTAGTTTTAAACAAAGAGTATACTCAACATAGGCCTACAGTATCGGGGGGTGGGGGCTGGTGAACGGTATGGTCAATGTTTGTAAACACTGTGACATTTTGACTTTATTTGATCATTTCAGTTAAAAACTAACGTTCATATTTATCTTTTTGAGAAGAGCAATATGAATATGTTAGTGGCTGATGTTAGAAGTATTCGTTGTTCTCGCGTCCAGGAGAGAAGCTTAGAATGAAGAGACTAAGGCCCCGGCTCCACGAGGACAAATACGGGTTGAATCCGCATATTTCTCATGCGTATAGCCCTCTAAGCTCGACGACGCCGTAAGGGAAACGTAGAAACAGACCCCGCAAACGACAACGGGTCCAAAGGTGGCTAGATCTGGGAACGGAGCGCTCTGGGGGGTCCAACGGGGCCGTGGAGTCGACTATACGGTCATTCGTTTTCATAGCCCCGCCTCTCCCCACCAGATTCAGATTCAGATTATTTATCTTTATCTCGATATGAACATAAACGCGATTGAAGTCTAATCTGACAGGACGGAGACACGCAGCTCCTCCGGCTGTGAAGCAGCGGGAGCAAAACACACACTTCAAATCAGATCACCACCCTTAGCTATTTTAATTACCTCTCAAACTACCTAAACTAGTTATAAATATGTTTATTTTTACTGTCGGGTTTACTTACTGGATCAGCTGCTGCATGAGGAAGCTTTAAAGCTTGAAGATTTAAACTTTAACACACATTGACCGGCGAAAAACTCTGCGCGGTTCCCTCCGCCCCCACCGCGGAGAAAAACAGAAGTGCAGCCATGACAACCATTCTTCTTCTTCGCTGCTTTTGTGGAGGAAGTTGCTGCTTTTGTGGAGGAAGTTACAGCGCCACGTACAGGTTCGGCATATGTACTGCAGCTTTTCCAGCGTTTGGATGTAAACGGAGCCGTCTCGTGGAGCTTGACACAATCCGGTGTATATTGCATGGGGACGGAAGGTTTTTTGCGGTTGCATTTGCGTTACTCCGATGCGTTTTGCCGTATTTGTCCTCGTGGAGCCGGGGCCTAATGGAGTCTCCGGAAAGGTTCAAATTGGTTGAGTTTAATGAAATGGCACGGTGATACAATAAGCAGAGGGTAAGAGGAGAGACAGAGCAGCTGTTGCCTCGCCGGGGTGAAGGGGTCAAGTCTTGTGGTGAAGAAAAATAAGTGTCTTTAGAGCTCCGTCACCTCTCTCTATATCTCAGTGGTGACTCCTCCTCATCAATGGCGGGTGGTGACGTAAGGAGGGAACTTCCCTCCTCTTTCTCATTGTCTTAGTTTCTCTGATTAGGTCATCTCTCTGAGAGTGAACCTTAAATGTATGTGTGATCAACAGACACGTTTAGGGGGTGAGGTTTTGCATACTGTGTCTGTGTATATCTCACTGTCTTGTAGGGTGAGATGGTTTTGCATACAGTGCCAGAGGGGGTATCAGCTGGCCTCCCAGAATGTTGTTGTAATGCAAATCTTCTTTGATGTCCTCCCATAAAGAGAGCCTGTTTCACTCAGAACAGTACACCCTCCTTTGGAGGAGACGTCATACTTGCAAATATAATAATAATAATAATAATAATACATTTGATTTATATAGCACACTTTAAAAACAACGTCATCTCAAGGTGCTTCACAAAGCTATAAGGAACAATAAGTAACAAGTTATCTAAAGGAGCAGCAAATATAAAGATCCTTATTGCTTTCAATATGAACATTGTGTTGCTGTACGTTTGTCACCTAACTGATTATTCTCTCTAGACCCCAGCTGATTTTAAAGCTGCTACGACAAAGCTTACTGTGCGTTTAAACTAAATTACGTCATTGAATATTGATTTTAATTTCTAACACTGACCCAGCCCCATGGTCTGTCACAGTAGTGCGGGAAAGAGAAGTGCACTGTTTTGCCTGGCTGGACCTGTAATTTACAGGAAAGGAGTGTGCGCTACTAAGAGGAGAGAGAGAGCTGTGGCTGATGGGCCATTAGGTGTGTAAACACACAGCATTCAGACTGTTTAAAAAACGGTAACAACGGACTATTTTTCTTAGCGGATCCATGTCAATTTAAATCAATACATACAACTATTTTTTAAATCAATAAAAACATTTTCTAAATCCATAAGCATTGCAATTAATATTGGGAGTCATGTCGTTATACTTTGTTGAGAATGTGGCCATGTAATAAGCGGGATCATTTGCAGCGACTTGGTCATTGTGGGGAAAAATAACACCCAGGGATCAAGATCCTGATCTGCCGGACAAGGCTCCATTAAAATATAAATATTTTTAGTGAATTACTGAGTTTAGGCACGTTAATAACGTTTTAATGAAGTTGAATACAGAATATTCATATTTGTCAGTGATTTCATGTAAATTCAGCGAACATAAACATAAATGATCGTGGTGAAGATGATGATTAAATTAGGATTAAAAATCGAGAGCCGGCTGCATTTCCTCTCGTTCGTTTTTTCCGACTAAACAACATTATTTTGTTAAATAACAACATGGTGATGTTTTGTAAATGATTACATGTCTCTTATTTAGCACAGACTATGATCCTATCCGTGACATATGGATCTTAACAAAGATCCGCTATACAGTAGTACCAGACATACTGTACATCCAGTTTACTGTATCGAAGTTGATTTCACATGAGCTCCAGTGTGGAACCCCACTGCACCCCCTGGTGGATCAATGATCCATTGCAGCTGGCTTCACAATAATTACATTTATTTATCACGGGGGCGGTCTCAAGTCAGACTGGGGGCAGGCTCTTCATCACAGGCCTTTCCCGGGCCATTCACGGGCCGCTCACGGGCCGCTCACGGGCCGACCACGACCCTCGCGTTTCAAACTGTCCTAAATTAGCTGCTACATCTGTACAGTCTATGGTTGCTACAGAGGATTGTGGGTAATGTAATGTCTTCGGCCATCCAAAACTCATAGAAAACTACTTGTTTCTCAGAATTGAAGGGGAAAACATGACAAAAGCATTGTACACACACTAAAACCTATCAATGTCGTTTAATTAACAAGGATAATCTGGTGTTTTTGAGTTGATGAGTAGTGGAGATATCACTGTCAAATCAATCGACAGTAAGGGGAATACTTACTTCTCTCACTCTGCATCATTTTAAGAGTCTGTTATGATTCCTTACACGGTACTATAAGTCCAATTGCTTAATAAATCAAATAAAAAAATACTGCAATAAAGGCGGTAATTTTGACCGACATGACATCAAAAAAGGAAGATGATATAAAATCACCATATAAATAATAATATTAATGATAATACACTTTATTTATATAGCACCTTTCAAAACGTAGTTACAAAGTGCTATAACATAAAAATACACGGTGAGCAAGATAATTAAACAACAGCATGTAAACATAAAAACACAGAGTAAAACACATAGAAAGCCAGATTAGAATTGTTCTAAAATATTGTTGTCATTGATAAAAGCTAACAATTATTCTGCTACAGTTTTTTCTAAAACTTTATCTAAAAATGGGAGCTTGGAAATATGTCTAAAAATGTTGGGCTTTTTAAGAAATGGCTGAACCAGCGCAGTTTCAGGGACATAACCTGTAAAAAGAGAGCAGTTCAAAATGTGCAGAATACAAGGTGTCAACATTTTTAAAACATCCTTATAAAGAGATATTTAGTTATTCACAATCTTATAATTATGTGAAGTGATGGGACTGAAGCTTTTTAGCTTTTAAAACGATGTTACAACGATTTTTTTAAAGGGCTGTACACATAAAAAATGTATGTGAAAAAAAAAGCACTGAGAGTAAAATAAGTCTGGTGTTCTACACTTTTATGCAGAAGGGTTTGGCAATATATTGATATTGTCAAACAAGAATAGATAAGTTGTTAGACTTTGGATTTCCTCATATAGTAAGTTGGCATGTTGTCTTTTCACATTTTTATGAAAAGACAACACGCTAGTATGAAGACATCATTGTAGAGCTGTGCCCGTGATACCCACCAGGAAAGGACATTTGTTCATGTGTTCATTATGGGGAGGCCAGTGCCTCAGGACGCACTTAAGCCCGGCTGCCTGTCCACTCTCTGACTCTCTCCTGGATCCCCTTCCCCTCGCCCAGCCTGGCTCATTTTAAGTTAATATATTGTTCATCGAACTCCACTGCAGTGACTTTTTTTATTTACTTTAATAAATGTGAGTTTGTTCTCGCTGAATTCCCTCTCCTTTGTTGTGGCCTGCGAGCCACGAGTTAAAAAAAATGCCTGGGCAGCTTAGAGGTCTAAGCATTGGTTTTAAGTTTAAGGGCCCAGGGTTCGACACCAAATGCAACATCTTTTGTCTTAGACCTTTTTAAATTTACATTATATATTTGTTCAATCACATTATAACATTTCCAATGCCATTCTCTGGTACGCTCATGTTATTTTATCAAAGCAGCAATTGCCAACCTTAGAATATCGATGCAATATTGAGGTATTTGCTCAAAAATATCATGACAATTGATATAATCCATATAGTCCAGCCCTGTGCAAAACCGTCACAGAAAAGCACTCACTCTGTTTGGACAAACTCTGAAGCCTGTCCACCTCTCTGGTCTTTTCAGTGAGGTTGGCCTTCAGTGTGTCTCTCTCTTCAGTCACTGAGTAGAGCAGCTGATCTCTGGCCTGGAGACGCTCAGTCAGGTTTGCTTTGACAGCGGAGAGATCTGCAGCTGCACCACCTACTGAGTTATGGTCTGGAATGAAAATAGATGTTTCTTAAATTACCTGATGCAATCATACTGACACAAACCAAAGTCAATGTTATCTAATTTCGCCCAAGGAGAAAAATAGAAAACCAATAGATGTTTTGATCAAATGTGCATCTTTCAGAGCAGAATATTGCTCCTTAAAATCACACGTTCAAAATGACTTATGAAACGAATATAATATATATATTAAAAATAAGACTCACGGTGGACAGCGAGGCCGATGAGTCCAGCCAGCAGGAAAACAACCAGCAGCCCCAGACCGAGAACAGACGCTGGGAGAAATCTCCTGGGACACAGAGAAGACCAGGGAGTTTAATAAATCCAAAATCCACAGCTCACTCTGTCTGACTGACCCTTACCTTCTTGTTGATGATCTTGAGCTTAGGGGTTTGACATCATCAAGGTTGACATAGATTTCCTCCATCGCTCATGGGAATGTCAAGTATTGAAGTATGTGACTGAGGAAATTGTGTTGGTTGGTTTCAATTTCTAAAAAATGTGTCTTTTTGAGGAAGTCACAACTCTCAAGTGTTAAGAGTAGTTTCATTGCTGTGTCAGATAATTATCTATCTAAAAAAAACAATACAAATATAAGGAAATGCTATATTTTTCTAACGCTGAGTCAAGACAAACTCAAATAAGCTTTATTGATATGACCATAATTAAATTAAAACATGATTAAATTAAAACACACCCGTAAAGCTCTCTTTGACAAGTTTAAAAGAGTATTAGCTGACATTGTTGTGAAAGCAGGGATCTTAAATGAATGCTGATAAACACAAGAAAACAAATGAAGACAACTGGGGAACCTTTTGAAAGATTTTATTTTTGTTCATGATTACATAAACACATATAGTGGTGAGTACCTTTTTATATCCTGCTTCTTTACACATATTCTCTCCAGTACAGCGTTAGCTCTGAGTGTTAGCGATGCTTGCTAATGTAAACACTGACCATATTACTTCCAAAATAGTTGGGCATTGTTTCTGATAGCGACGTTTCTGATAGGGCCGTGGGTGTAAAGCCAGCCCTGATTTTAGTAATGTCGTCATGACCGCAGCACATCTGGATCAGCTCCGTTGTACCCCCGTTTTTAGAGATTTGGGTACGGAGGAAAAGAGAGAGGGTTGTATTCGGACACTTTGTGAGTCTCCTTACACACCAGGGACACATATGTGTGTATAAAAGACATCAAAGGTGCATTTTGCATGATCGGGGACCTTTAAGAAAAAATGGGAAGTGGTAAAGCTGCTTTTTATCTGATAACAGCAAGTTGTTGAGTGCAAGAGCTTTATCTTGTCCGAGAACATGTAATACACCCACCATATTTTTATAATAAGTGTTATCTTGTATAAAAAAGTTGCCATTTCCTGATTTAGCTACACATTTACTCGAGTACTGTAATGTACTTCAAATAAAAGGGAGTTTTACTTTACTTTTTTGAATGAAACATGAGCAAATCCTGCAGTTAAAGTCTTGTTTATTTTGGTATATATTGAAATTAAAACTTGTGGGATGTTTATGGTGCTTCATATTGCATTGACTGAGGTCACACTGATATTTATTTCAAAGTCAAAGTTATTTGCATCGTTTAACCTTAAAACGTGTTTCACATTCAGAATTTTAAAGGTTTTAAGTCTTTGGCTTTGTCTCTCGTGAGTCGGTTGATTTTGTTAATATTATAGTTCCAAATAAAAGAGGAAAATAATAAAAAAACTGGTTGTTTTAATCCACTTCTTATTGAATTTACAGAACAATACTATACTGTACCCTGATTTATACTGCTACCATGATATAAAACTGCATATACTGTGAAAGAAGATCCTATATCCTACACTAAAATAATCAAAGGTGCTTAAAAGGCAGTTATAAATGAAACACAAGACAAAAAAAGATTCACATGTACAAGGTTACTCAGAGAAGCAACACACACCTTCAGCAGGTCAGTCCAAGATGTTCCCAAGAAACTGACCCTTTTTGGGCACAAAGGCACTGCTTCCTTATTTTATAATAACATGTGACTGTGTGTTCAACTGTGGGAAGACAGCTGTGACGACATTTACAAGTAAATTATTTAGAGGAAGTAGTAGCTGCGGAATTAGTTTTGGTTTTGACTAATTTTTGATGAGAGGATTACAAACATGCAAATAGACTGCTACTCATCGTGACCTTCCCTTTTATCACTGGTCACAATGATGCTATCTCTGTCTGAAGGCATTGTTGTGGACTTGCATGCATGTGAACAAGATGATAAGTATCAGGCCATGAAATGTAATCTAGCCTTTAAATCCTCTTTCCCCGAATAAGGGCGTGTCCACATAACGCTCCAAGGGTTGTTTTGTTGTTTCTATGACAGCAATGTCTTGACACTGTATCACCATTGTTGTATTACAGACTAGCCTCACCCCTTGGTTTTTATTATCGATTTGTGCTATGTATTTGTTTGACATTGTGTCTATGAGAACAAACAAGAGGATGCTTGTTCTCACATTTTGTGTGATTGAGCGTCACAGCTTTAGTCTGACAGCTTTAGAGTGAGGAGGATGATATGTGTACGGTACGATAAAAGCCACACACTCACTGGCAGATCTGCTCCAACAAACAGGCTCTTTGGTCTTTGTTATGATGGTTACTGTCTGACAGTGAGACAGTCATTTCCTTCAGTGACGTCAACAGCGTTTTTCTGGAAAGTTTAAATATTTTCAACTTGACCAAAACGGTGGAACGGTCAGAAGAAAGACGAGGGGTGCAACTCTTTCTCTGAAGACCACGGTGTAAAACAGTATAAGCTATCGCCTTATTGGAATACATTTGAAAAAAGATGCTGACGTGCAGAAAAGGCGATATGTAGACCCAAAGCAGTTTAAGTTTAATAAATCAGGTCTGCAGTAAGCCAATTGTATCTACCTATTTGAGAACATGTAAACACACTGACTGAATAAAAGGGCTACAAATACATCCAATAGATTATGTAATCCCCATAAAAAGGCAAAGGGGTATGAACCTCCCTCTCACTATCCTGCTCAGTGGACCAGAATCTGGGGCACGGTCTTCTGCAGGTTCAGTCCCCTGAGAGCGGAGAAGGGAGGGAGGCCTTCGAAGCCAAGCAGCTGGCGGGTGGAGGACTCCCAGCTGAATCCAAACTCCAGCCGGCTGTAGACACACGGGTACTGCCGGTCCGCCCAGCAGACCCAGTCCACCGCCCTCTTCACCTCCTCCCAACGCTCAGGCCTGGAGGAAGAAGAAGAAAGTCAATATGAAAACAGGTTGCCACGCTGGACATAGTGACAGCTAGTCTCAAAAAATCACCCAGAGAAGAACATTGCAATACATATTGGATCTTTTGCAAACGAGAACAACATATTTGAGTGTTTTAAAAGTCAATGGGCATCTCAAGGGTATGAATTGAGAAATAAATGCTTTGTTGTGTTGTGATGTGTTTCTCTTCCTGTTTCATTTCCTCTTTTCACACCTTTGTACTTTGGTTGCAGTGTAAGCCTTCAAGCTTGGAATCAGTTTAGGTGTTTTTATTTAGGATCTTCATGTTGTTCGATTAAGTTTTGGACAGACCTGGGCAGAGGGGAGTCGTCCAGGCAGAACAGGGTGCGGAGCAGTTTGCCCTCCTCTATCTTCTCCTCTCTCATCAGCTGCAGGACCAGCAGAGTCGCCACCAGCTTCAGTATGTCTGCATGGGCCTTCACACCTACACACACACACACAGACAAGTACAGTACATGCTTTTAACATCCGTGGGAAACAAACTCATCATCATGGCTGAGATATCTGTAAGACTTAAAAAAAGGAAAGCAGTGCAACTATGAGAGTCCTCAATGAAAACTGAAAGACAGGCACATTTATTGTGGACAGAGATGTCACAGTTCCATTTTTTTAAAGTGTATTTTTCAACTTGGAGCCCCCACTCTTACATCTCCATTGTGAAGCAGATGTTAATTTCATACCCTGGACAAATATAATCCAAACTATCATGAAATATACTTGTGGCGAAAAGTTGGGTTTTGATATAAGTCTCTAAAAAGCAGAGACGTGGCATGATAACTGTTTGCGATTTGACCCTAGACTGTATATTTTCACACACTAAAATGTATAAAATGTGGCAGTTTTGAGGTTATTCTTCTCTTCTTCTCTTGAGTTGTAACACTGGTAATGGCTCTAGCAACTTACTTACTTTGAATACTGATTTTACATTCAATATTCAACTTTTCACCAAAAACCTTTTAATATAACCCCCAAAGAGAGCAGTTTGAGTTGAATCAAAGAAAGAGACTTAGTCATTAACAGGTCATTTTTAAACTCATCTTAATGATTTAAAACCTAAAAACTCATAAATACAAATAGGACATTCTCGTCTGATTGGTTAATATTATATTGCTTGGAAGGTTATATTAAACTTTAAAGAACATGTTGGCACTATTCGGCGAATGATACTTCTATCTCCACGTGTAAACCCAATCTTTTGGCCACAGAAAGATGTGGAAATGATCTGAAATGACAAATATATTCCCACTCTAAAGGCTGCATCAGTTTCTGAGAGTCCTCACCCAGAGACTGGATGCCTTTGTTTTTCAGGAACACGTTGGCGAAGAGGTCCACATCCAAATTAATCAGCTCACCCAGCTCTGCGGTGAACTGCCAGTAACCCTCCTGCAACACAGAGACACAAATAAAATGTTCATTGCCTTCATAAAGTGGTAATTAATTACGCCCCCATGGTTAAAGTGCCAGCTAAAAAAAATACACATTAACATAAGCATTACTGCAGCAGTAAATACATCCAAAAAACACCATTTAATAGTAAAACACTCACTGATGATATATGTTATTACAACCTTTTACTTTACGTGTCAACCTACCTGGTGATAAACCCGTTTCTGATTCTTCCTCCTCTCCCTCCCACCAGATTAATTAATGCAATTGACTGATAATGTTTACATACTTTTACTTCAGTATATGCATGATTAGGAGTGGAGTATTTCCAGTTAGGTATTAGTACTTTTAAAAGCATCTAAAGTATTTTTCCAAAATGCTTGTACGATAATACTGAACATCGCCAAGTTGCATAAGACTGCTTTTGAAACCCAAATTTGCCCCGCTGTCAGTAAACATATCTCTAACTGCTGTATCGCTATAGTTACAGTGTTTTAAAGGAGAGGTGTCATGGCCATTTCCACTGATCATAATTCCATTGTTGAGGTCTACTAAAATAGATTTATACTGTGCATGTTTCCAAACTCACATTGGTTTCTCATACAGCATCTCTGTAAACTACTTGTATTCACTGAATTTCACTCTCTGCCTTTAACGGCTCGTTGTAGCTCCAATAGCTCCAGCCCCCACCCTCCCTGTGAGCACAGTGTGCTCTGATTGGTCGGGACGTTGTGAATCGCGCTGAGCTCCGTGGAGGTGTTGTTTCCTTGTTTAGGATACATAGCGAAACACAGCCAAACTCATCCTGAGCACACACAAAGTCACAGCCGAAGTAAAAACAATAAGTGTGGCTTGATATTGAGTAAGAAAAAGGTTGATAAACGCTGTGAGAATGGGTCTGTTGAGAGAATTTCGCCGCGATCCCAACTGTCTGTTATCAGCCTGCAGCCAGGGAGGAGAAATCAGCTGAGTTGCCTGCTCCCTGCACACAGATGTGTGTGTGAGGAAGTCCATGGATTGGTCAATATGGACCAATAAGCGGGGGCTTAACTTAACGGCTCCGTGGACGTAACGTAACGGCTCCACGGATTGGTCCATTTCGTTCCGGGTACGGCATGATGTCAAGCCGTACCCGGAAGAATCAAATGGACAATGACGTATCTCCAACGAGGCGTTTTGGGGAGGTATTTTCTGTGCTAGAGTTTTACTCGCTACAGGGTGTACTTTGAGGGTTTTGACTCTGCACACCGTTTACATGCATAAAAACCTTCATAACACACAAGGGGACGGGTAATAACCGGAAAAGCATGACACCTCTCCTTTAACAAGAAGTGCAAAGCAGCCTTCTGACAGCTAATCATCCCAAATGGGTTTCACAAAGAAATTATCAAAGGATCAGAATTGATAAACCATTCAAAGGGCTGTCATTTTATCCTGTCAGCAGGAAAAGAAAAGGTCCATTTATGCACTCGAGAACAGCCGCATACGTTCATTTTGAATATTTCTTACCGAATGCTGCATTTGGAAGATCTCTGTCCATCTGAGCTTCAGCGCTTCAGGGTCTGCTGACTTCCTCCTGAAACGACATGATCACAACAGGACACTCTTAGAGAACACTGGAAGTTGTGTACTAAAAAACACACACATAAATCAAAGAATGTAAACATAAATACTCACATATACTGACTTTCTTTTTTTTCCACATGCATACATGTACATAATCAGAGGATTTACAACAATACTTTTCAGTTAACATGCAGATGAATTCATCTATGTTCATTTTGTCAACCAAAGCCTTTAAAAATAAGTAGAGCATTTTTTGTCAACAACTGTTATTCAAAAGTTATCACAGTTTTCTTAGTAGGAGCTTATCTATTCAAACAAAAAATGTTTAGGGACTCACTCGAATGGTTGATCAGCTGATTGACGCATCCTGGAAGACTTAAAAAGATCTTTACTCCGGACCCGTCCTCCCCAAGAACTTCCACATAAGGGCTCATCTTCTTCAGGCTTTGCTAATGATCTACCTCTGGATTTGTGCCTCCGTCGCTCTACATGGACATCTGATGCGTCATCAAGTGAAACAGGAGGGGCATCTTTCATTGGCTGATCTTGTTCTTCAAGCGCACAACCCCTGAGACCAAAGCCTTCCATTTCTTGTTCATCAGAAAATAAGAGCTGAGCTGTGGAGAATAAAGATGCTGCACTACTGGAAAACCTTTCAGCTAGCGGAGGAGCTGGACCAAGAGTAGGAGGAGGGGGAGCTGGAGGGTCTCGAGAGGTGGACTGGCGTTGAAGTGAATGTGCAGAATCGGACAGTGCATTTCCGAATGAAAATGCTTTCCCTGTGACAGGAGGCTCAGGCGCACGGTCGTTCATCATCATCATCACATCTGAATCAGTTGCAGCTCGCGTTGTACCGTACATGACGCTTTGGCGTTGGGGAACTTCTGCTGCTATTTGTTCTCGAGGATGAAATGAGAGAGGAGGGGGAGGCATACGGAGAGTGATCCTTTGAAGACCACTAATCTGAGGGAGAGGCGCACGGAGAGGAGATTTTTGGGCGAGTTCCTTCATGCGGACCTGTCCTCCCCAAGAACTTCCATATAAGGGACCATCTTCTTCAGGCTTTGCTAATGGTCTACCTCTGGATTTGTGCATACGTCGCTCTACATGGACATCTGATGCTTCATCAAGTGGAGCAGGAGGGGCATCTTTCATTGGCTGATCTTGTCTAACGGGTTCTTCTTCAAGCGCACAACCCCTGAGACCAAAGCCTGACATTTCTTGTTCATCAGAAAATAAGTTTGCTCTTTGTCTGGAGAATAAAGATTCTGCACTACTGGAAAACCATCCTGACTGACCTTTCACAGGAGATCCAGTCGCACATTCAGTTGTTTCAGTTGTTGAGGTGGAAACACTCAAGCTGCATTCCTGGGGTGCAAACCTCCCTGCATCCCAGAGACCAGAGGAGGTTCCTGTTTGATTGGAACGTGATAGCGCTCTGTTCCCGAAAGCGCGTCCTACCAGTGACCCACTGCGCTGATCCGACATGGCATTAGAGCCAAGTAACATTTCAGCTAGAGGAGGAGCTGGACCAAGAGTAGGAGGAGGGGGAGCTGGAAGGTCTCGAGAGGTGGACTGGCGTTGAAGTGAATGAGCAGAATAGGACAGTGAATTTCTCTTTGTTGAGAATGAAAATGCTTTCCCTGTGACAGGAGGTTCAGGCCCATCATCGCTCATCTTCATCAACACATCTGAGTGAGTTGCAGCTTGCGGTGCACCGAACATGATGCCGTGGTGTCGGGGAACTTCTGCTCCCATTAGTCCATGACGATGAAATGAGCGGCTTTGAAGACCACTGATCTGAGGGAGAGGCGCACGGAAAGGAGATTTATGGCCGAGTTCCTTCATGTGGAAAGGAGGAGGTGGTGGAGGATGAAATGAGCATGATGAATCAAAATGCATTTCTTCATCCACTAGAGGCGTTTCAAAAGAATCTAGTGTTACTTCATTGCCACACAGGGGTGCTGGAGGTGCCCATGTGTCCACGTCCCCTCTTCTTCTTCTTTTCAGTTTTAAGGGAGAGGCCCCATGCTAAAAAACACAGAAACAACAAAAAAGTCAAAACCTTTTTCTTACAAATTATAACTGGACACATTGAATTTTTTTCAAACTAAAATGAATGGAGCAGTATTGCATTGTCCTGCCTCTCTAATAACATGTGAGTGACGCCACACGAGGACACTCATTAAGGATTTGTTAACCTGCCAATTGGTATGTTTTTGTTTAGTTTTAACAGTCAATGCATTACAAATAACAGCTCTATCTGAAAGCGATGCATTTATTGTCGCTTTAAAATAGCAAATGTGAAGCAGCAATTTGTTGCTGATCATTTTACGGGAATAAGTCCCCTATCATACCAAGCACAAAGGGAGACAAATGCAACTCATTGAAGTGTTATTTATTAAAGAGGACATATTATCCTCATTTTCAGGTTCCTATTTGTATTTTGTGCCTCTCCTGTCACATGTTTACATGCTTAAATGTACAAACAATTGCTTTATTTTTCTCAGGAGGGAAGTTTGGGATTTTAGGGCATCTTTAAATTACAAAAAGAAAACTCTTTTGTTTCCTCATTATTATAATGCAATGTGACATTACCTTCATTTCGATTATTGGACCACTTTTAAACACAGACCCAACCAGAGTCTCAGACTCATCCTCAGAGGTCCCTTGGAACCCTAACACCTTATCATCATCACACTCCTACAACGGAGAGACGAAGGCAGAAAAGATATTGTCAATTATCATAATAAGTAAAGATGCTTTTTCCTTATTCCCTGATTACACAATGTGACTTTATTGCATTTGGACCTCCTTTCAGAATAATCCTCAGAGTCCTCCTCAGAGTCCTCCTCAGACTCATCCTCAGACTCATCCTCAGACTCATCCTCAGAGGTCCCAAGCAACCCAAAATCCTTAGTATCACCACACTCCTACAACGGAGAGACGAAGGCAGAAAGGATATTGTCAATTAGTAAATCATAACAAGTAAAGATGCTTTTTTCTTGTCCCCTGATTACACAATGTGACTTTACCCTTAAGCATGCGGACATCATTTCAGAATAATCCTCAGAGTCCTCCTCTTCACTGTCCTGAGGAGAAATCCAGCCCATGTAGGGGAGGAAGTCCACATCTTCCTCGGCGAGTAGCTTTGGGATGTCTGTAAAGCCTTCCTCTGGTTGTTCTGAGTCCTAAAACAAGGTAGAGGGGATGGTTGGGTGCTACAAAACCTTCAAATCTGGGGTGGAAAGGTGGACAAATATAAATAAATAATGTTTTTCATTTAACAAACCCTTTCCTCGATGGCCACAAAGCTGGTGAACTGAGACAGGATGGAGAACTCTTTGCTTAACTCGATGATGAAGCGCTTCAGCTCCGCTTTCTTTCCCTGAAACAAAACAGGTCCAGTTTAACACCTGGAGCTGGGACTAGACGTCTAAAGCGATGCAGGTTTCTTTTGAACACACACACACACACACACACACACACACACACACACGCACACACACACACACACACACACACACACACACACACACACACACACACACACACACACACACAGTACTTTTAACAGATGTGTTCTTGCATAAATACAATATCTCCACCTTGATGTTTCATTTGTGTAAGCACTTTTTTAATTGGGTTGTTTAGGCCATTAACTATTATATTAATGTTCATAGTTTAAATTCTGGTGTTTTCTGTGTTGTAACAACTCTCCTTTACACATAGTTCTCCAATCACTTCTCAAAAATGAACCTTTTAGAGCTTCTAAACCTGTGTACATAATTTGTATCACCTTTCTTGTATTTTCCAACAGTGTATCCATACTCAACCCTGCACGGGTAAACTCAAAATAATGATAACACATGTGACAAGAGGAAAAAGAGAAAAAAGAGTGCAACTTTCATTTGTGTTACCAAGCACCTAAGGTAGTTTAGTTTAGTTTATTTATTTATAGTGTCGTGGACAGTCCCCATCGATGAACTGTCACAAAAACAGTAAATGGAACAGCTTTAGCCGACATGGCTAATTTCCAGCTGTTGTCCCCGGCCAGATGGTAATAGACACCTTTAAAATCACAATATATCAACAGCATTAGTTATAAAAAAATATAAAATAAAATAAAAAGGTTGAAAGACAAGTAGATACAGGCGAAAGGATAAGAGAGGATAAAAGAGAACAATAAACAACACGCGTTACTACATACAGTACATGTCACCTATAGCACATCACAATCACATAACAGAAATGAGGGGCAGCATCCATGATCACAACATGTAACACAACATGTAACACAACATGTAACACTCACGCCATACTCAACACAGACTAGTGTGTGCAGGTGTAGTTCTCAGTGAACCATGATTTTAAGTGAGCTGTGAAGGTGGTATGTGTATGTATGTCTTTGATTTGACCAAAAGTACTCTTCCTGAATGGGACTGATAGGTCGCCACGTGTGGAGCTTCTGGTGGTCAGTCTGGTGTTGTTACGTTGAGTAACCAATGAGTTAAGAGGTGGAGGGGCTGTATTGTGCAGGATTTTGTACACCAGAACGATGTTCCTATACTTTATTAAATCTTCCCAACTCAGGATGTTATGCTTGTTGAGGATGGTACAGTGATGGGAGCGGTTAGGTTTCTGGTCCAGTACTTTGAGGGTTTGTTTGTACAGGGTTGCTAGTGGCTTCAGTGTGGAGCTGTTAGTTTGCCCCCAGCTTGTGAGACAGTATGTTAGATGTGACATGATCATGGCATTCATGTATAACTTGGCAGAATTCAATGTCATTGTGTTTCTTATGTATTTAAAATTTGCTAGGCTAAACTTTACTCTTTGGGTCACTTTTTTGACTTGTGTTTTGAATGTTAAATTAGAGTCAATAATGATTCCAAGGTACTTAACCTGAGGCACAATATTAATATGTTCACCTGAGATGCTTATATTTATATATATTACACAATGTTGCTGTCCAACGTTTTCCATGCATGGAACTGAGCATGGATCCTAGGGTCTGCTAAGACCCAGAGCTGCAAGGTCTTAAAAACAGCCCTATAAAATATTTTCATCTAGATAGTTTGAAATATGATGCCTGATGTCTGGGAAAATGGCAATAGCGTAAAGGATAAAACAAAACAAAACACCATCAATACGTCACACCTCTTAAGTGCTAAAGGTAGTCCTAGCAACTGTACCAGATAATTATCTATATATCTATCTCAAAGATATAAGGAAATGTTTGTTTTTTTCTCACGCTTAGAGTCAAGACGAATTCAAATAAGCTTTATTGACATGCCCACATTTAAAACATACTATTGCCAAAGCACATTGACAATACAGATTTAAGACTGAAACAAGTGAGATAATCAAGTCCATTGTGTTAAATAGAGACATATCATCTTACAAAGCCATACA